TTCGCATTCAAACACTGCGGGGAATAATATGAGGATACGGTAACAATGATTACCACATCGACCGGAATACGAAACCCGAAAACATAGTTGTATCATCGGGACCTGGGACTGTACAACCAGCCCCGTAGCAACAAGTTGTACAAGTTAGCCACAAAAAATGGTAACTTCTTTTAGCACGAGGAATTCTTATGTACTTTTGAAAATGAAAGGAATAAAATAAAGTCCTTTTATTTTTATCTTGTTTATTGTCTAAACGATGAATTAATTTTATAATTTGAAAGTTAAACAAGTACTTCAAATGCTAGTGCCGTAATGAACAGGAGACGTCCTCTTCAAGAGCACCGTAAACATAAAAGGTCTCTCTCTTATAAAACCCTCACGTTAAAGGGTTGATTTCGGAGGAACTTATGCCCGAAATCCAAATTCTCTCGGGGAAAAATACACCCGAAGTCTTGCACAATTCGACGCAACGAGTAAAACTTGCACAAATACTTAAACGAAAAATACGCAAAGAGTTGCACAAATACTTAAACGAAAAGTACGCAAAGAGTTGCGCGAATACTTAAACGAAAAGTATGCAAAGAGAAAAATTTGCACAATACTTAAATGAAAAAGTATTTCTATTCACAGAAAACGTGCCAAGTAGCACAAATACAAAAGTATGGAAAAGAAAAGAAATCAAAAACCAAGCTACTGCATCTCCGGAACCCGGAGGAAGAGAAACATCTATAGCCCCCAAGAGAAGTGGGTAGATCCGCTGCCGGTTCAACATCTTGGATTTCATCATTTTGGCCTTCTGTATCGTCACCTTCTAGTTCTTCTTCAGTTCCCGAGAACTCGAAACCGGAACCAAAAGAGTCGGTAGCATCAGGACGAACTGGAAGATCCCTTCGGGCAGTTATCTCCAGCTCACGGGCCTTAGCGATTTCGGTATCAAAGTCAATGACACCCGCTTTGGCCTCTTCCAAGGTTTTTCTTCTCATGCTATACATAAGATATGTTTTTTCAACAATGAGGGAAGCCGCTCGGTGCTGTAGTTCTTCTTTAAGTCGGTCGACCTCTGCAAAAAGTTTATCCCGCGCGGATCTGGTGGACCAAAGGGTGATATCAAGCTTGTAGATAGTGGAGCTAAAAACTCTATTGTGCTCGATGGTCCTCTTATGCTTCCCCTCTAACCGGGAATACTTTGCCTCGGCAGCAGTAACCTCTTCAGTTTTGGAGTTTAAGGCTGCCTCTAAATTATTCAATCTTTCTGCAGTGGCAGCCTCGCAATCGGATGCAGCAAGAACGACATTATGGACCTCAACCCATTTGGCTTTAGTTTCTTCAAATTGTGCCCTTAACGAGGCGACCTCTTAGCTAAGAGTCACTACTTCTTGCTTACTTTGGTGCAATTGAGCCTCCAACTCAACGGCCTCAGCAGCTCGTACTTCTAGTTCTGAGAGGCGAGTAGCAGTTTGGTCTCGTTCGGCCAAAAGTCAATCCTGCTCTGAGGTAAGTTCCTCCTTATCTCGAATCAGCCTTTGAAGGCCCTCGGAAGCAAGGAAGTTGGCCTACAAAAAAAAATATAAATTCAAAACCATGCAATAACAAAAATAGAAGAAACGATAGAGGAAACAAAGGTTGTACCGCAGCTATGTTGTGCATGGCATTGTTGAACAAACACTCCCCCGAGAGAGTTTGTATCTTATCCCTATCTTTTTCTGAAGCCAAAGGCTTCAGATAGTTAGTAAGATCTACTCGTTGGGATAACAGATGGCATCCGGTAGAGACCGAGAGGGTGACACTCCTTCTCCTTTGGGGGATCTTCGGAGGGGACAACATAATTTTTCCCCAAATTCCCATGAACTGGGGACTGGGGAAATGGTACATCCCCCTCTTGGGCAACTGCGACCGGTGGAGATAATGTAGCAATTGCTGGTGGTGAAGGCAAAGTTGGAGAAGAGGTATAAGAAGGAGATGGCATTGTAGGATGAGAAGCAGCCGCGACAAATGCAGTGTTGTTTGTTGGTTGCTCGTCAACCTAAGATAGAAGGGACCTGATACTCAACCTCACGTACCGGGCGCAACAACTGGGACTCTAACGCGTGAGTTAGCATCTTTCACCAAATCGAACTCCCCCAAGAGTGTCGAGGCATCATCCTCGGTTGGTATAACTAGCTCAACAGATTGAGCATTATGTTGAGCAGATGAAGGTCATCGTCTTCTATGTAGAGAATCCCACCATCACTGGCTCCTCCATCATCGTCGATCACCACGGTTTATGGGATCGGCTCGGGCGCGACGCTTATCTCCATGACATCCGGGGATGGCTCATGTACTGCATTCTTTGCCTTTTTATTTTTCCCTCGGCCGTGAAGGAACGTCTCCTTTTTTGTTGCTTGTTCTCCGGCTGGGGACTCCGAGAAGAAAATCTTGCACCAGAAGCAGGCCCGGAGATACCTGTTCGGGTAAAAGCCCCCTGCAGCAGCCTCGCGGCGTCAGCAGGATTAGCCAAAACGTCCTCCTCGGGGGCGACAACTGAGCCCCGGGGTAGACCTGAATTCAACAGGAGAGAAAGGTTAATCAACTTCCTTATACGAAAGGAGAAACAAGACGAGTTTGACTTACCATGATATTTGTCCTTCCACCCATATTTAAGGGCCATTTCTTTCCACGTATGGGTCTCGGGCATAGTGACATCCAAAATTTTCTGGACCCACTGGTCTAAGCCTTCAACTCTAGGCGGTGTCCACCGAATTGCTGAAATAAGTGAAAGAAGAGGAATCAATAACAGCATGAGGTGATCTTTAACTAGAAGAAGAGACAAAGGATGAACTTATGAGTGCGATTCCACAATTCCGGAAAGGATGGAGCCGTGGCCGGAATGATATCCCTGGTGGAAATTGCAATGAACTGTTCCATCCACCCACAGTCGTTATCATCATCCATGCTGGTTAGTAGAGCATGGTGGCCACGTTTGCTGAAATTTATCATTCCCTTATAGAAAATCTTGGGGGAATAAAGATTTATTAATCGAGCTAGGGTTAGATCCTCTCCCGTCTCCTGGCATAGACGCCGAACACAAGCAACAGTCCTCCACGCAGAAGGACTTACTTATGCTAGGCATACTTGGTAACGGATGCAGAACTCCACGATAACAGATTCAAGCTCTCCGCTCAAAGAAAACAGCCTCAAAGTGAAGGGATACATATAAAAATACGTGAAACTTCTTGGGTAAGGTTATCCGCTCCGCCAGATCAGGAGTGATAATGTCTAAATCTTGGCAATGATAGTCTTCCTTCACAGCTGAAATACTGGAAGGACAGATGGAAGAAGGGTACACGCCAACAACCCACGTACGAGGATTAGCGGAAGGATACTTCTCTTCGAAGTGTTTAGTTGTGACAAGACTTCTTGGGATGATGGTGCGCATCGTAGGATGAGAAACATCATCAACTTTACCTTTATTTTTTGAAGAACTAAGGTTTCCAGAAGAAGAAGCCATTTTTATCAGAAAGGAAGGAGGGGTTTTTCTGAAGAAGAAGGTTAAAGAAAGGTTGAAGACAAAGTACAGTAAAGAGAATTTGAGTCAGTTTGGAGAATTATGAAGTGTAAATGAAGAAGTTTGAAGTGTATAAGTAAAGGAATATGAGGCTAAAATTGTGGCTATAATTACCTCGATAACGGGCAAAAGTGATGCTAAATCGTGGAATGACGCGTGTTCAGGGCACTAAATGCGGAGAGACATACGTCTAATCAACCGTTAAAAACTTCTTAGAGGGGGTCAGAGAATTTTCCGCCTAAAAAGGTATCTCTACCAACTCTCCGGCGACACAAAGTTACGCCGCCGAAAAGCAGGGGGACTATCTGTATAGGGTAAAATATGTTCATATTTTATGACCGCATGAGAAAGCGACACGTGGAGCCGAAGACAAAAGATAGTCGAGTCTGAAGGCAACGATCTCGTTTGTTACCGGAGAGAATAACATTCATAAAGGCGAAATAAATGCCTGCCACCCGGTGACATTCAATGAAAAATATTCTATAGCATTAAGTGTATGGTCCGTTACAAAGAATATGGCCTTCACTGCCTACCGTTACACATTCTTCAATGGCCCTCATAATTGTCATTTAAGAGGGGCTTGATCCTAGGATCTTGTTCCCTAGGCGCAACTATAAATAGTGAGCTCTACCATCATTGTAAATGGACGAATTTTCGGACAAACATACACTAGACTTTGTTCAAAGCTTAATAACATTTTACTTTCTTGCTTATTTATATTGTTCTTACTGCCTTCGGAAGCTCTGTTCCCGGGCTCAAGATCTCTATCGTCTTATCTCGATTTTAACGCTAAGTCTTATATTTTTGTCTAATTCATTCATCATTTTATGATCAAATCGATTCACTTGTCTATAAAATAGATATAAATTCAGTTATTTCGTTTTACGTGTAAACAATCATGAAGCAGATTTGCTCCGGCAACTTTTCATATTTGTACGTCTCATTTGAAATATTTAATGAAATCACAATAAAATTTGGTAAAAGAAGTCCAAGCCAATGAAATGCCTCATGTACAAATGCCAATTCCATATACATAGACAAGTATGACCTTTTAATCCTACATGGTGTACTTTTATAATCGAATTATTAATTTTGAATCCAGAAAATCAAATAAGTTGTGATAGAATTCCAAATACAATCTCAAAGTGCACTAAAAGAATTACAACTCTGTTCGTTTGGGTTAGAGAATCCAAAGGCTATTAGTTCGAAATTCGAAATAGACCGCTAAAGCCGTTAACACTTTGTAAAGTGTTTAACCACTCTTATCACACAAAAATTAAATTTCAAAAACCAACAGGATGATTACGCAACGTGGGTAAGTAGCCTAAAATCCCGATTTAACCTCATGAAGTTTACAACACATTCCTTCTCTTCTTGTAAAACCAACTTATTCAAAGATAAAACTATAGAAACCCCACAACCCAAAAAGCAAGAATTGTGGCAATACTTTAAAGAACAAACCGTCATAATGAAAAGATCAAAAGGAAGGAAAAAAGAAAGTGAAAATGAAGCACTGTACAAACAGTTCAGGAATCTTGAAAAAGATTGGGACAATTTCAAGCGATCCAATTATAAACCACAGAATTTTCCTCAGATTTCTGCAAATTCAGACTCTTCAATTTCTACTCTGGACGTTTTTAAACTTCTTGAAAACTCTCCAAGAAGTCTAATGTCTTCACTGCAGGACAGCGAATCACCACTAGAAGAAAGGCTTAATTCGAAAGTGAAGAAGAATGATTTGGCTGTTGAAGAAATACTAAGGGACAGAAGGACTGCTTTAGCCAGTGGTAAACTTAAAGGAAGACGCCTTTTCGAGGAAAATGAAGAGGAGGAAATATGCAGTGATTGTCTTGGTTTACTTAAACAAATGGATGGAAATGATTCCTTAATTTCTTGCTCATCAACCTCTTCTTTTGCAACTGAAAAAGAATCAAAAGATCGAGAAATTAGGATGGTTGAAGGTAATCTCAAGGCATCAGTTAATCTGCCAAAACGGAAGAGTTGGCATTCTAGAACTTGTTTATGGTTTCTTGTCATGGCTCTTTTAACTATTACTATATCAGCATTCTCACAAGGCATTTTCTTGATAGCAGGAAAGCAAGTAGAAGAGGTTATTCAACTCCCAACATGACCTTTACTTTGATGTTTAATATTTGCAAATACTGAATTTCGGTAGTTGAAATACTGAAAAACTTGTTTGAGGAGTATTTCAAGCGAAATAATGGTTACTGTTCATATGCTTGTTGTTCATTTTCAATTTTTTGACTTGACAATAATGAGGCTACCTTGTTAAACTTGCACATTTTGTTGTTGGGATCTTTTATGTTTCTCCTTAAGACTTAAGAAATTGTTAGGAAACGTTTTGGCAAATCTCAATTTGTTTAGTTTGTAGATTGAAGACATGCTATGGAATAATGGTATATATCTAACCCTGGACATAAAAAGTAAATTCAATGTTTATTCTTAAGCAAAACAGGAGAGGTAAACATGGCTACAAGCCTACAACTAACCTGCTGCTGTTGAAACTCATTTCCTAGTACACTGACTAAGAAAAGGTTTTTTATTTGAAAACAAAAAACCAAAAACAGAACTGAACTGAATCAAAGCGATAGTAATAAAGTTTCGAGATCAACATCAAGAAACTAAATGAACTTGGTGTCTAAGCAGATTTCAAAGAGTCAATCTTGGCCTTTGCTGGTGCATTGAATTCTTCCCAAGCCTCAATCCAAGTGACCATAGCAGCAGCAAAATTGTGGAAATAGGGATCAATTGGACCAAGCTTTTCCTTCACCATCTTAGCCAGCTCAAGGTAGCATTGTTGAGCATTAGTGCATTCCTTTGGTAAGACAACAGATTGGAAGAAGGGAATCATCTCTTCTTGCCAAAACAACCCTTTGAATTCCTTCTTCAAATTCACAAATGGATTGCTAGCCTTACTGTGCCACAGGTATGGCAACCCTGTCTTCACTCCGTAGCCCAAATGATCACACACCACCTGCATTTTTTAGCATTACGTTAAAACATAAGTACGATTGCTTCAAACATCACGTCGTCTCAAGTTAAAACATATCAAGAAACAGATTAACATACCTTGGAACACCAACCAGCCCACATATCATCATATCTGCCAAGAGGTTGGCCATCACCCATAATCCCAAAATACATAGCAGGACCAACAAGTTCTCTGTTAAATGCAAGATTCATAGCACACATGGGATAGAGAGTCCCTTTGGGGATTGTCATCACAGCATCCACATACCTGTTTGAGCCAGTACTAGAAAGCTATTAGTATTATTAAGGAAAAGTATGTATGCATTCATTTTTTTCTATATGAACTAACCTGGTATTACGCTCGCGAGGCTTGACAAGCTGAGTAGGGGCATCATAATCAGGGATGTTAAGCCAAAGGCCATGGGAAACAGCAGTTGGCACACCTTCCCTCAAGCTAAATGGATACCCTCGGACGAAATCAGCGCCTTCTCTGTACGGATCATACAGAGTGTTGAAGAAGTAGGGTGTGGCTGGTTTTGTCAGATTGTCAAGATGTTGTGCCAATGCATCAATATCTTTCCCACTTGGATCCTTTGCCACCTTTATCACAAGACGAAAAGATCAATCTCATATCCCAAATAAATAAACATCTATGCAAAAGATTAAACATGAACAATATGAGAAAGTGCTACTTACAAAGCAATCATCATCAATGGTGTAAATGAACTTCTTCTTGGAAACCAAGAACCCGAAGCAACGACAAGCACCATCCTTGAAAGAGATGCAACTAGCCTTAGGACCAAGAATCCTGTTGATATCATCGCGATTGTAGAGCTCATAATCGAAGCCCTGAGGGACCTTAATCACCTTGGTAGGATCTCCATCTTGGATAATGATCAAATGGTATGGCTCAAAGAATGGCCTCCAATTTTCCAAGAAGTCCAAGCTTCTTATGGTTGGTATCACAATGTCTACCTCACCATTCAAAATTGGAGCCATTTTCTTCTGTTTTTTTTGCAAATGGTGTTTCTTTTTCTTGACTTGTGAGTATTATGACATATAGGGAGGGATATATATAGTTATCAGAGGTGTAACTTCTGATGTTAACTCTTAAGTTGTTACTTTAAACTTAATCTTGATTAGATTTTAAAACTATTTCATATTCTATTACTATGTTTCTAATGGTATGCTATTGATTTTCTTTCCAAGTAAGAAATGGCAGCGCTTTTACTATTTACTCTTTTATAGTTTAGAAATCTGAACTTTGAAATTAACTTGCCAATTTGCTTGTTTCAACTATAGAAGCAAATCAAACCAAGATGTTGAACTATTAGTAAGTAATCACAAATTACTGAGATGTGCTCTTTTGCTAGAAAGATAATTGCAGTAGTCTCTCATGGGCGGTGACGTTGTCAGAAATTTTATCAAGGGTGTTCAAATTTTAAAGAAGTCAGTAACTTTTTCCGATGAATGGGTGCACCGAAAACTATAAATTAAACTACGTAACATTTAGCTAAACCATAAAAATATTTATTATAGAGCTACAATTTTATAAATCAAAACTAATATAAAAAGAAAACAAAAGAAATTCTACTATTAAAGGTAAGCATAAAACCAAAGGAAAGAAAGAGTTAAGAGGATTTTTTTTTTTTTAAGAAATTTTTGTAGAGCTTGACTTTTAATTTTAAAATTTATTTGATAAGCAACTTTTAATTACAAAACTACTTTTAAGATTGATTGTTTGTTTTTACATAATTTTTTGCTTTAAGAGTTATTTATTAAGAATTTTTTAGATTAAAAAAGCAGACCAAACACAGTGATCTCTGTTTAGTTTTGGAGAACAAAAGCGCGGATAAAAATATAAAAATAAGAATTCAAACTCATGAACTCCTCACTTTGGATACCTTTGACCATTGGGCTGCCTCTTTCTATTGTATTAAGGGTGTTCAAAACATGATATATGATCGTGTAAAGTTGTATTCGACCTATATATACAGTATAATTTTCCGGCGAAGGGTGCTAAGTCACTAACGGGAAGGATTATTTAAAGTATTTACCTTACATACATCTTCATTCGTTGACTAGTTGACTGAATGAAGATATATAAACACTTAACATATTTGTAAAATGAAAATGTTATTCAAACTAATAGGGGTGTAATTGCTTGATTTAAGAATACATGAGGTGTATCTGCAGTTAAGTCATAATAGAAGGGTGTGTAGTGGAATTTACCTAATAATTACTTTAACAGATCAGGTTTACCCAACTGTTTGGGGAAAACGATGGCTAAGAATTTCAATACGAAGATTGAGGGATGAAACAAGTATTTATATTTAGTACATGATGTATAAATATGATGTATTATAAAGTTACAAAAAAGCTTTATAAAGATATTGGACAATTCTCTATTGCCATACGATGATACGAAATATTTTGCAGTGGAACTACTAAAAGAGAAAGGAACGGAGAGGAGTGATAATTTCTTTTTTCTTTTCTTTTTCGGTGGATTAATTATGAAATACAAGAAAAGTAGGTACTAGTTGTTTTTCTCTTTCTTTTATTACGTCGAGTAATTAGAAAAAAAACAATGAGAATTGAATTAACATCTATTATGTGAAAGTCAATGATACCACTAAATTATAAGCCTCTATAGTAGTTTGTTTCACTAATGGGTCTGGACTCTTTGTTTTTTGCGACATTACAAAAGTTTCAGAATGTTCAGATTTTATTTTAATGTAAGTATATACATATGTCTCAATCCATGTGTAAGCTTTTAGCATCGTGTCAAATTGTTTAAAATATATAATGTCTCATTTGGGATTAATAACTGAATTCAGAATAGCTTATAAATGTCCCTCAAGTAATGCTAACATGTGTTTTACAAGTATTTGTCCCATATAATTTCACTCCATATGATGGAATACTACTAGTAGCTTAAAAAATGTTATCATAATTATCTATAAAATATTAATAGCGAGATTAGAGTTTTAACTCTATATAAGGTAGTTAAACAAAAAGGTGCACATAGATTGGACAAAAGGAATACCCCTACGTATTAAAACTTGAAAACAATAGTAAATGATACTTAAAACTTTTTTTTTTTTTTCAAAGTTGAATTGTTTGACCAAATTTATAGAATAAGAAGAAAAAAAAAAGAAAAAGAATCACACCTATTTGACATACAAAATATGCACTTTCTCTTGCATAAACAATAGTAATAGAAAAGGAGAAGAAAAAAAAGCAACATTTGGCAGTTGATAATCTCATACTAGCACATATTTAAAGCACCAAGTTGAAGAATGGTTAAGTTTGGAAAAAAAAATAAAAAAATACCATCACCTCGTATATAATTTGATACAAATTTTTGTAGTAACGAATAATAAGCCTTCATTTTTTGACTTTATTAGTTAACATTGCTATGCCTCACTTAACCTATTAACGATTGCTATTTGGTCCATGGTTATTTCCCACATAGGCCCTAAGAGAGGGAGATTGAGTGAGACCATATGGAGCAATAGTCTGTTTTTGATTCCCATTTTTCTGCTGCATTTTTCTTCTGGCAATGTAACCTCTGATCCAAGGCGTGACATCCTCGTTGATTTTGATCATGATAAAGAAGATGATTCGATAGGTGATTATCATGACGAAGATGACACTTACGTCTATCCATTTTGATCTGTTCAGATCAATCTGGAATATCTGCTCTAGTATGAATTCACCTGGAATCTTTGGAAGATCAGGACTCGAGTTATCAAACACCAACCCCATCAAATCGTTTTGATATTGCCCCTGCACCATCCACCATTTGGTTAACACAAATAAGACGTGCAATGTACAGATAATTCTGTCAATGTATAGAAGTCGAACTGAATTCGTAGTCTTACCTGTAGTGCCCAAAAGTGGAAACTGAGGTAAGACATTGGGTAACGCCAGAAAGGCTTTGGAATGTCGTTTGGGAGTCTAAAGTATCCAGAGACAAGCATAAATATTCCCTAGCATCAAGAGGAAAACAGAACAAAAAGTTAATTAAGAATGTTGGAAATGGTTGTAATTTTGGACTAATTGAAGGGAAACTAATGAAGTTTTTTAGTACCTGAATGCCAGCACCTATAATGATACCCATGAGGAAATTAGGGACAATACTAGCTATGACCATCATCAAACTTTCGACAACAGTGACACTGGCATAGAGGCACACAACAAAGAACAAATAGTGTGTGAAACCCGGGTGTAAACGGACCATGAAATAGCATACAGTGCCTGAGAGGAACGTGATTAATATCAGGAATGGCATCGCGGATAAGGTGTTGCTCACGACGAATGCAGTAACACCATAATGTCCATTCATCCTCTCTCTTTGAAAAACCTGTTTTCAATGGGGGAAAATGGTTCAAGTTGTTATATATAGTGTGTTGTCAAAAAATTGGATAGTTTTTTCAAGATTAAGATATATACAAGTACAAGGTGCAAACCTTCATATCTTCAACAAAAGAAGGGAATCCTCCAATTGACATGAATGTCACAAATCCAAAGACGAATGATGCACATGCTCCTCTTGCCTGTTTCATAGCAGTTGAACATATAGCAGAAATGAGGTTAATTTCTTCTCATTTATTAACAAAGGAGCAAGTTAAAAAATTTCAACTTTGTGGCTGTGTTTTTTCCCTTTGGATTTAAAAGATTTTTAACATATTGTATTAGACTATTAGGTAACGCGTCTTATTTTCTAGGTTATGTAGGATAACTTGTAGTTATGTTTTAGGCGACCTGAAGCAAAAAAATAAAAATAAAAGTTCCATTATAGGAGAAGGATATTACCAGGATGGAACTGTAACTGGTTCCGACATTAAGATAGATAGTTCCAATGCAGATAGTGACCACTAAGTAGATAACAAGTCTCAACCAGTAATAACCAAAGTCTCTTGACATGTTAACAAAGGAACGTTTGGTTAAGGTGAAGGACTGCATGAAGAAACTAGCCTGACTTCCTCCAGAATCCAGCACTGTTCCTTTCTGTTACACAACAAAATGAATAATTATTTGATAGGAGAAAATGGTTAGATGATGACAGAGTATTGATCAAAGTTGGAACATCAAAACTTACAACTTTTGACATTTCTTCAACCCTTTCGTTAGCTGAGTAACTGTACTGAGAACGACGATAATAGTCAACTAGAGTGCGGATAGCTTCAGCTGTTGTTGTTTTGTCAAGAGGATCCTCATTGGACTCAAACTGATAAGAATCAGAAAATACAAAGACGAAGGAAACAATGCTAATATTGCTTAAAAGTAGCTTACTTTGGTTTAAAGAAACTAAGAATAGGCCACTGGGTTCAAAGAAAGCAGAGCAGAATGGTGCAGATTGTATAGTGTATTAATTATTTTATTGCACATAATCGGAAACAAAAGCATGTGGTACGCATACTTCAATTGTTTCCCTCCGTGAATCAGAGCAACAATAGCAATTAAAAAAACATTTACTAATTTTGTAGAACACTAAGCTAACAATGATTTGGAATTTTTTAAAGGGAAACAAGATGATCAAAGGAAAGAAATTTGATACCCGAAGCTTCATCGACCCTTTTAGAGTTGCCTTAACTTTGTCGAAATCAGAATTGATACAACGTAGGAAATGATCTGATGGGTTTCTGAGAGCAGGACATGGAAACCCAGCTTGTGCAAAGAACTGCAAACACAAACAACTTTTTTTAGGCTAGCAAAAATATTAATAACAATATTGTCGGTATATATAAGTTAAATCACAATAATACGGCGGAAGGAGAAATCTTGCCTCATATGCTTCAGAAGCCTGACCAAAGTAAACTGTTTTGCCTCCAGAAAGTAAATATAATCTGTCAAACAACTCAAATACTTCACTGCTCGGCTGGTGAATCGAAGCTATCACAGTCCTTCCATCTCTGGACAGTCCACGCAACGTCTGTGTAACGAAGAAAGCCGAAGCACTACAGAAAAAAACATTTAGTAAGTTCATTTCAAATGTTATCCATAGATCTATTTACTGAACAAGCAAAAAAGAGATAAGCTTTAAAATAATATTACC